CATATATTCACGAAAAAAAATAATATGACATTTGTTAGAAATCTGCGTAAAAATACACCATTTTTAATTTCTTTTGAAAACTACTCTTTTTTGAAATATTATTTTACGAAATTATCCCCATGAAAGCTTAATAACAACTCTCGATTAATAGCTTACATAATTATGTCAAACAATAAATATTCTTATGATGATTTAGGACACCAAAGATTTCATATATTTTTGATAATTCAACTACTCAATTGTTTTCCGTTATCATAGGGTTAAACAAACAAATGGTTTGGAAGACCCTAACATCTTGGCTAAAAACAAATCTTCTTTTTTTTGGTTAAACTGAACCAATGATGGCTTAAAGAAATGTTCTTATTGTAAACTCTCGAAGGAAACTCCATAGTACAGTGAGCAATATATGATCTGTCACTTGGAAAATTTTTCTGAAAAAATTAAATATCTCGTTTATTGGGTAATTAAAATCTAAACTTACAAAGCTGGAAATTCCACACTTTATCGCTATGTATAGTTAAGTTAATGACCACAAAGTAGTGATAATAATCCAAATAAACAAGTTTTGCAAGAACCAGTTTGTTTTCAGTTAGGTATCTACCGGTTATCAAATACAAAGGGATCTAAAACCAAAAAAAAGTGCAAAGGGATCCTACCTTATCATGCATGTAGTGTTGTAGTAGTAATATGAGACAAATGTTTAATTTTTTTTTGTTTTGTAGGAATTAGTGATTACGATAAAAAGTTTAAATTGTTGAAGAATATAGTATATATGTTAAATTAATAATACAAATTTATCTCAAACAATAATGATAAGTTATTTGTGGTTTTCAATTTTAGTTTATTAAAGATGTAACTTTTCAATTCACATAAGGACAAAAATGACTTATCACATAGAAAAAGAGTTAGTTTTAAAAAACAAATAAAAATAGGGTATTTTTCAAATTTATAAATATAAATATGGTATTTTTCAAAAAATCCCTAAAAATTATGCTATTTAAAAAAAGTGATAAATAAATCATATTTTTTTACAATCTTGTTCGTTTTTGTAATACAGAAGTAGAATTTGACTATCTAGTGCATAAACCCTATATAAAATGTGGAGTTTCAAGTATTTTTTATATATGAGATATACTTCCTCCAGACCATTTTATAAACTGTTTTAGATTTTTTTGTTTGTTTCACTTTGTTAATTATTTCAGTTTTCTATCTGTTCGTCGAATTGATTTCTCATCTCCACTTTTCAAAAGAAAACTTGAAACTTACAATACTATTTGAAATAACCTTAGAGCATAAAGCATCATTATTCATGAGATTTGGTAGGTATCATTAGATATAAAATTATTAAAATTTGAATAAAAGGAAGAAAAAAAATGTTTTTGGTTGAAATAATGGAGTGTATTGAAATATAAAATTAATAAAATTTGAGTAAAAAGAGGAGATGAGTTGATACTTTTGGAGAGAGAGTGTCTTTGTATCAATGGGTTGATACTTTTGGAGAGAGTTTAAACTTTAGTTGGGGTGTTTTTAAATATAAAATTAATAAAAGTTGACTAAAAGGATGAAAAAGAATGTATAAAGTTAAGTAAAAGGAAGAGAGAATGTGTGTTTTAATAATTTTATATCTAATGATACCCACCAAATCTCATGGATAATGTGGGTATCATTATTAAAATTTGAGTAAAAAGAAAAAAGATAGTGTTTTTGATTGAAATAATGGGGTGTATTGAAATATAAAATTAATAAAATTTGAGTAAAGAGAAGAGATAGTGGGTATTTTTGGAGAGAGAGTATCAAATAGTTGATACTTTTTATATTTTTGAAGAGAGAAAGAGTGTGTTTTTAATAATTTATATTTAAAGAGAGTATAAAATTAATAAAAGTTGAGTAAAAAGATGAAAGAGAATGTATAAAGTTGAGTAAAAGAAAGAAAGAGTGTGTGTTTTAATAATTTTATATTTAATGATACCCATATTGTATCACCATTGTGTATGCTCTTAGACCAAGTTCAATGAATTTTTTATTAAAATAACTAAAAAATTTAGAAAAATAGGAGAGATGTTGAGAGGGGTTTGTTTCTCCTTAAAAAAACTCATAAGAAACTATGAGGTCACATGTCACATTAGTCTAATTTTATTTTTTGAATTAATAATTAATTATATAATAAAACTACATTAAAGTAATAGTATTTTATTTTTAAAAAATCCTTATGGTATCTAATCGATAAGGCTGCCCCTAGGTAACACTGTTGAGGATATTGAGCACGTGTTTCTTTATAAAAGCCACAAACTCATCAAGTGGTGATGAGTGGTTATAAACAGTACCCTTTGCTC